TTGAGATAGAGAAATATGACATTAGTTAAACGTAAATGTTCTACCACTATTTCGTTAAGTAGCGTTTCATAGCCTTGCAATGTCAAAGGGACAGTTCCATCTAATGATGGTTGATCCCTGATATACCTATTATAGATCAATATTAGCGTGAATTTTAACTATAAAGAATTTTAATGGTAACACAATTGTTTTATTCTTAAAATTCATTTTTAACACTAGAAAGGCTGAAATTTAGTATATACCTATATTGCCCAAAAGCAGTCAAAATGGCAGGATTGCAAAAGAATAAATAATGTGTAAAGAAATTTGTTCAAAATTAATTTTTAACATTTTTTATATTGTTTACAGTTATAACAAGTTATTAGTTAATATCAACAATAAAGAAATTATATGTTATGCAAAATTCTAAGAAATTGTGTCATTATATACATCACTGTTTTTCTAATTAAAATCAAAAGCAGTCAAAATGACTTCCTTAGGCAATCTAGTGTTAAAAAAGCAATATATACACATACATAGGGATGCTACAGGAGACCAAAAATGTTAAAAGTGGTAGAAACTCAATTCATTTTTATTTATTTATTATCTCTTTAATTTTCAATGGTAACTACCACTATGACTTACATTTCACATTATTCATATTCAAATCATAAGCATTCTTTAGCATAAGCATACTTACGCATTTTAGCATAAGTATATTTATATTTGGAACTGAAGTCAGAGCTAAATGCTTAAGTGATAAGTAACAGAAAGAAATTTCCACGTTTTTCGCACTTGTGTTTTATACATTGTGTTGCGTATAAAGAGCATTTATGGTGCCTGTCAGGGCTCGAAAAAACTTAGAAATTTTACGCGTCCCCGAGGACGACTTGTTCAACAATATACCCGTCCTCCTTTGAAACTAACCCATAGCTTCTAAATAAATAAAAATATAATTTTCTCTTATTTATTACAAAGATTTATATAAATTACACAATGAATTAGTAGTTACTAGGATTACATTATACAGTAATAAAAGAAATACTAGGTTACTAATAGTAAAACCTAGTATTTCTTTTATGAAATAATTTACTTATTTTATGAAATAATTTAAATGACAAGTGTCAAGTTATCTGGAATGTCAATTTATCCGAGGGTACTGCGTTTTTTAAATGACTCAAATATTACGTTTCCAGTTCCACAATCAAACCAGTGATTTACAGAGGCTTCTGCACAAAAATCTGAAAGGGATTTTCCATTTAAGTCGATGTTCATAATTGTGTTTAACTTTACGTAATGTATTCTTTTGTAAGTTCATTGCTGAAAAGCCCCTTTCAATGGCTGCAGTATTCCCAGACAGAGAAAACATCAATCCACCATCAGCAGTATGTTGCTGTGCGGGATTTCTAGATTAGAGGGTCATTTTAGAAGTGAGGCGCGAGACTCTTGTAAGACAACAAAAATTGAAAATATATCACGAACATTAACGGGAAAATGGCCGTCCACCCGGATGTCGAATTCGAGAGATTCGTTGTCCGCGGGAAATTTTTGACCGCGAGGACGGGCGGACGGGTGGTTTTTCGAGCCCTGGTGCCTGGATATTTATTTATCAAAGGGATGGTTTAGCCAATGAGAACAATTGACTTGCTATCTGTGACTGCGACATTGATACAGTGAACATTGATTTGTGACTTGACTTCACGCTGTTGCTACTCAGTCTCGATCTCACACAAAGGAAGCCTGTACACATTGGACTGCTAATGGCAACACAGGAGCGATCACGCCCACAACCGCGATCTTCATACAGCTCTCACAACCAGCACGTGAAAGTCCAGTGATCTTAATGCAGCTCTCCCGGCCTCTCACAAAAGGCAATGAAACAACTAGTGGTATCTATCCATCGAATTCTGCCACAGATAAAGTTTTAGTGGAAGAGTAATGTAGCGTAGTTACCACTACAACTATTCAATTCCCATTCACTAGTAGAAATGTTAACTCGATCTTAAACAGCGGTAATTTTTGATTGATAACGGTTGACATTGTCGGCTGCCAATCCACACTTTGGCAGGACGCGTTCTGAGCACACCTACCTCGATTGAAACATAACTTACCACGTTAGTTTTAAAAAAGCGTTAGTGTAAAAAGTGTGAGTGTTATACAGACCCAAATGTAAATTTATATATGTTCCTACGTATTCAATTCTATCACAACATGTTCCTACATATTATATCCTAAAAGAAACTAGTGTTTCAATTTTAAAGCAACGCCTTTTGGCTGATGTAGGAAAATCCTTTCGGTTGTTTAAATTGTCTCCCCCCCCCCTCTCCTTTATATTCATTGACCATTTAAATATGCTTATCAACTTTTAACTTTTTCCGTGGAGGATTTTCCAAAGTGATAGTTAGATAACAATTTTACAGCACTACCAACAACTATGCTTTTTTCAAATTATTTTACAGAGTGGATAACAATTAAAAATTAAACCTTTTAGAATTTTTGGAAATTTTGTCTAAGTTTAAAAACCTTACTATGAGAGTGTAAACATAGTGACATTTCATATGAACTTTTGACTAATTAACATGTAAATGGAAAACAATTTTGAATTATAATTGCAAAACAAAGAATCATACATAAAAACATAAACTTAGCAACCACTGAACGAAATTTTCTCAAAAAACGTTTCTGGTGACCACAATAATTCGGTATTTCTTTATAAATGGAAATCTAACATCTGAAAGTTAAAAATTGCATAATTTAAATAGCTCCTAAGTCAGAAAAATTTGATGATTAGCTATTTTTACTGCTATACTTTTGGCAAATCTTCGGAAACTTTGGGACATAAACTTTATCAAAATTTCACTTTTGTATTCACTTCACATAAATTTTATCAAAACTTCAAAAAATCACTTTTGGGGTCAAACACAGCTAAAAAATGAGTTAAAGCTACTGTATCACATTTATTTGCCTATTGAATTTGGACGATGAAACGGAAATATTTATTAAAGATGTACAATCTCCGTATAATTTCGAATCAAATGTCACAACTTAAGTTTTTTTTTAAGGCACAGTTAACGCAATATTTTATCTAAGGCTCTTTCTATTTTTCATATAAAAATTTTCTCATTGAAATTATTAGCACTGCCAATTTTTATGCTTTTTGATAATTATTACTTTAAAAAAAAGATAAATTTTTGGTAGTTAACATTTAATCTCTGTTAGTTTTATTATCTACTACATTTTTCGTGACAAAGCATACTTTATATAATATTTTACTACAGGGACTTTAAAACTGCAATGCAGTGATGTAGACCATCAATGGCTAAGATTAATCAATACAATTCGAACAGTTATAACCTTCTTTTTTTTTATTTATTGATGGCATTTTAAAGTAAAAACTTTTTTAAAAAATTATCAAAATTAGAGAAAAAAAAACTGTTAAAAAATAAAAGTCTGTAATATTATTTTATTATGAGCTATTTATCTTCAAAAAATACGTGTTTAAACATTTGATTTAATACTAAGTTGTGCATTTTTATACTCTAATAATTATTTAAATAAATTTCATATGGTCTAAACTCTTATCTTAGTTGTAAAGAAACATTTTACGGCTTTCCTTATAAATGTAGGGCAATGCAAGCTTCAGTGGAAATAATTTAGTAAAAAAACTTGTGAACTAATGATTCTAATCACTTGAATATAAACAAATAATTTAAACTAATTTACTAGAACTAATTTACTAGAATTTAAACTAATTTTTTATACTTATTACAATACCAAACTTTCGTCGGATCAAGCCATTTATGTTATTTTCTTTATTGCAAAGATTTATTGGCTTAAAATTTTACTTTTCGAGCATTATGTATTATTTTTTATGTATAAGATGAAATTTAAAAAAACCATGGTAATTATTTACTGCATTAAAAATTTATTTTACATAGTAATTTATAGAATTTATTCCTTTAGGCTGAAGAGGAAGTCCGAGCCCTACAGAAAAAGATCCAACAGATTGAGAATGATCTCGACCAAGTTCAAGAACAACTGGCTCAGGCCAATAACAAGTTGGAAGAGAAGGACAAAGCTCTAGCCAATGTAAGTTATATTTTAATATGCGTCTAAAGTTATAAATAAATCTGTGTGATTAATTTCACTATTAATTAATCGCACCTCCAATTACATTAAACTGGTTGTAAGCTTATATTTTAATAATCGATATAAATGCATTTTTAAAATATATTTTTATTTACTAAAATTTAATTGAAAGTAGTGTACATTCCTAATCAATGGAAAAAAAAACTATTTAAAGTGTTAGAAATTACATAAAAGTACTTTTTGAAAATTTTTTTTATCTAGACTATTTTACCAGGAGATACAATTCAATGTATCAACCTGGACAGACCTGGTTTCTCCTGGACAGCGCTTATATATAAAAAAAATAGTTGTTTCTTCAAAAAAAATAATAATGAAGCTAAATTTTTAGTGATTTATTTAATAAAAAAAATTTTAAAAAGTATTTAAACTTTATTAAAGAAAATTAATATATGCTTTAGTTTATTTTTACAAAAAGTATCAAATAAGCAGGATTACTAAATAGTAAATCATTAAATTTAGTTCCAAAACTTTGAATTTTTGTAATCTATTAAAATTTTAAGGAAAGTCGCACAATTGTGGAAATTTACGTTTCATTAATATTTTTATCTAGTATAGTATATTTGGCAAATTCTTAAAGCTACGACTACAATAAGTTTTTGTAGTCTCTTTCTTTTTCAACCAGGAATTCTATTTACGTTACATTTTACTGACAAAGTATAGCTGAAAGAGGAAAGATATGAAAGGCTCCCCCAAAAGCACTCAAAATAACTACGCACCATATTTGGATGGCTTTCAAAGGATTCCTTTCATACGCCATCTATACTAAAGTTTTGGAACTTCTCATTTCTGTGCCAGCTATTCCTAAGAGAGTTTTTCACTTAGGAATGGCATCACTGAAGTCATGTTTACATAATTATGACATATGCAATATCAAAATAAAGTAGATGTAGGAAATTGCTTGAATACTAACCAGGAAATTATAGCTTGCAATGCTATTGAAAGCATTAATAGCTTGGAATATGGCTTTGGACAAGCAGTATGGAGGACTTTGATAAGAAGCTTTAATGAATGAGTGATTCGAAATAGATGTTTTTCGCTGATTCCACCATGTAAACATTTACTGACAGATTGTTATCCCACATCTCTCAAGATTTAACTCTTCCTAAATCTTTGCAAAATGAGAGATCCAGATCACCGACGATCTCGTAATCGAAATTCTTCTAATCGCAATTCAAATCAACCTGAAATCGTTGATCGTACAGCTGATGGGGCAGAAGATACTCAACATCCATTCAACGAAAATGATTCTGAAAATGAAGAGTGGGCTAGTCTCCGATGTTCAAGTGTTCAAACAGAAGTTATTGCTGAAAGAAATCGTCGAAATAGGCAACGAAGTGCTGGTTATCCTGGCTTAGCTTTCGGTGCATCATTATTTTTATCAGGAACAATGATGAAATTTGGTGTCATATCAAATGAACTGCATAACATCATGAATGTGCAACTAAAAAGGGTAAATATATAAATTGCAACACTTAACAGTTAAAGTTTAATATTAAATTTAAATAATTATCGAGTTTCTCAGCAAATTAAATATCTAAATTTCACTGCTAATGATTTAAAATGTATTAGTTTCTAAAACAAATGTCGAATTAAATTTAACATATAAATATAAAAACGTAAACTATGTATAGTTATGTTGACAAATTTATAAATACAGAATTGTGGTACCCGCATTGTTTTTCCATCCTTAATTATTGAGGATGGAAAAACTATGTGGGATTTAAAATATAAAAAAAATTCACAACTTTTCATTGTATTGTCAACTTAAATTTTATTCCACTTTATTACAGGCTGAAGGTGAAGTTGCTGCCTTAAACAGGCGTATCCAGCTCATTGAAGAAGATTTGGAAAGATCAGAGGAACGTCTTAAAATCGCAACAGCTAAATTAGAGGAAGCTTCCCAAAGTGCTGATGAAAGTGAACGGTGAGAATAATTAATTTTTATAGTAATGAGAAAACAATAACTAATTTTCTTTAATTCGAGCAAAGTTATCGGAATTCAAAATAAGTCTTTAATTTACAGGCAGCTTTCAATGAAATATAATGCGTTGCAATTAGCCTTCTTAATGTCTCGATGCCTTAAAGTTATTTCTCCAAATTTACCAGAAATGTCACTTAATACTAAAATAAAAGAAACAATGAAAAATGAAAATTATAAAAAAATATGACAACCGAAGCTGACGTCTTCAAGAGGTACCAGCTTTGGAAACCATAAATGCAAAACTTCTTCTACTGAGAGAGCACAAAAAATGTCTAAATTGCTCTCTCTGTACCCCAAAGGTTTTGCCAAAGTCCAGGAAAAGAATAGATTATAAAATACATAAAGCAAATACAAAAGTATAAAATCAAGACTAATGCATAAGAATGAAATGGACAAATCTTACTTGAAACACAAATCCCATAACCAAATTGCACATCTGACTGCTAAACAATAACTAAACTGAAATGAACATAAAAATATCGCCCCCTAATTTCATGCGCAGAAGGAAGGGAAAAAATAGTTCATTTATGATGGTCATTGGTATTTGAAAGATAATAAATATTTTGATTATTAAATATATACATTGCCTTGTAACAAATTTACATTTTCAGGTTTTTAGTTAACCATCTAGTATTTTCACAATTGGGTAATTTTTGAGAATGTTTCACCTTTATGCATCTTTTCTCTATCAGATAAGGATACAGTATATTTATTGGATATGGAACTTATTAGCTTGTCAATTTATCTATCAATTTAAGGAATCTATTAACAAAGTTGGAGATAAAATTTATGGGCCCCAGGACCAAATTAGTTGCGGGCTCTTTCCTCAAAATGCAAAGTCTGTTTCTCATATTTTATAAGCTCTTTCAGAAAGAATTTTCAAAACAATAAACAACCCTTGATTCTTGAAATATCAGCTTTCATAAATATACAGAAATATTGATCTCTAATTTTTTTGGCATTTATTTAACTATCCCACTTAAATTGTAGATTAATCCAAACATCCATAAACATATTTAAAAAATTCTATGCAATTAAAAAAATTAATAAATAAATAAGCATTATAACTCTTGTAAAGATTTTCAACCGTGCTCTCAACAGTCCCTGTCCCTCAGACAATTGTCCTGTCTTCCCTCCTAGGGTATGGCCTTCCCAGGGGTCCGTCTAGACATTTTGTGAAAGGTCCGGTTTTTGTGAAGTTGTGAAAAAATTACTCACATTCTTTCAACCAGGGTCCTGCTTTTATGAATTTGTGCAAATAGGGTCCGGTTATTGCAAAAAACTTTTTCAAGGAGTTTTTAAATTGTAAATAGATACAAAATTATGCTCAGCACTGTAAAATTATAATTAAAAAAATAATAAATTTTCAAAAATAAACAGCAATTGCTGTTTCTAAATTAGAGATGCAGCATACTAATATTTGGTATTTAGCCTATACTGCTGAACGCAGAATATTCATTTCGGACGAATAAAAGAAGAATCGTCTCCCGAAGACAAAATTTAATTCATTTACATCCATCTTTCTTGTTTTCTGCCCCGGGAAGGGTTTATTCAATAAACAAAACAATAATGAAGATAAACAAATTTGTGAAGGGTCCGATTAAAAGAAAAATCATTTTGTGAAGGGTCCGTTTTTAAGTTCAAATATTTTGTGATGGGGCCGTTTTTATGAAAAGATATTTTCTGAAGGATCCGTTAACGAACCCAAATTTCTTCTGAACAGACCCCTGCATTAATCTATCTAGAGATTTCTCTATCTATTAGATAGGTGAGCAGTGTATGATAATACTATTTTGTTTAGTATGAAATCATGTAGATTCAAATTTAAATCTTATATAATTTTAACTTTGTTATTAAAATGTACATCCTAATATATTCTCTTTTTTTTTCTAGTATGCGAAAAATGCTTGAGCACAGGAACATCTCAGATGAAGAGCGTATGGATGCTCTTGAAGATCAATTGAAGGAAGCTAAGCTCATGGCTGAGGAAGCTGATCGCAAATATGATGAGGTGAAAAATTCATACTGAGCATGGCACCTTACTCATAATGTTGCCTGTTAACTGTGACCATCAGGAATGAAACCTGCTCTGTCATGATGTAACTTTTGATTTTGCATGTACTTTGACATGGGAAGATCAATAACATTTTATTAAATAAACTGAGATGCCCCTCTTCTGCTTGAGGCAAAGTTGTGATGCAAATACATGATCAAAACATTTTAATATAACTGTTGAAAAGTGCCTTAACTGTCAAAGACATTATTTAGTCAAATGACTCTACTTAAAACTATTATCAGTGTGTTATTTTTTTCTTTCGGATTTTTGTGAACCTTAATGAAAGTTTTCTTTATGCCTCTTAGATATAAATTATTTTTTAGTCTGCAATTTTGACTTATGTTAGAAAATAAATGACGAGGACTATTTTATGAATTCGGGTTTGGATTATGTCACATTTTTAGAAAAATTTCTAACATTAAATAGTAGCATTTTTAAAAGACCTGTGTACCCATTTGATAAAAATAATTATTTGTTGATCCTTTACCATTCATAAAATTTTAGTTTTGAAAATTAATTATAATGCCCCATGGAAATATTTCTTACCAGCTAGTTGTTTTGTTACCCATGTGCCTTTTGTCTCACATAGTTGGCCTCATTACAAATCACCTTCTAAAATCCACCTGAAACTCATAAATCACCTGGAGGCCACAGATCTACCGAGATTGATAATCAAGCGAGGCAAACCGTTTGTGTTGATTTTGAAACATATAAGGATAGAAGTTGACTGTTATGTGATCTTGGAAAGTTGGCTAATGAAATATAGGTCTCAAAACCACTAGCTAGAAAAAGGTGCTCATTTAGGGCTTTAGATGCATAAGTTATAAAGTTATACATGAACACCTTAAGTTAAAGTTACACCTACTTAACTGTCCAGTAAAAGTTGCGACATATTGACACTGAGGGTATTTTCCCTTCTGGTTTTTCACATCTTTATTGGACAACAAGACCGCACATGGCCCATTTGCCCAGGCTAGGTGTAGGATATAAAAAAAACTAAAAGTTAAATGCTTAAGAATAGACTGTAGATTGAAAAAACTTTTCCTTATATATGTGACATATTTTGAATTCATATTCACCCAAGTTCATAGAATAATATCAGTCATTTAATTCCAAATCGTAGTTACTTATGGAATTGCCATAATCCATTATTCTCCTACCTATGCTTGTTATTAATGTGTGTTGCTTTATGTATTTAGTTAGTACAATAATAGTTAATTCAATGTTTACTAATTTAGCTATTACAGCACAGATGCTGTTTCAAAGGCAGCATTTATAAAGAAAATACTAATATATTTTTTGTGCTAATGTCCCCTTTTTTAACTTTTTCTAAAATATAAAAGTAAGTTATTTTTCTAAATATGCATGAATATTTTATTATGAGTTATTATGCATGATTTATAAATCAAAAACACCAATCATGGTTTTATAATATTTTGCTATTTATTGAGTTAAAATCAAAAACTTTAACAATAAATTTGTAGTTTAAGTAGTTTTTCCTTTTAAATTAATTACAAAAATTACTTTGTTAATTATTTTGCTATTTTGTGTGTTGTGCATGATTATTTGCATGGATTTTTATTACTCGATAAAATAAATAATTGGTGCTCAATTAAAAATAAATCTGTTTTTTTATGTGTTGTTGTTTATGGATTTTTATGTTTAGTTTCAGCATTGTTGATTTATTTCAAAGTTTAAAGATGTGTTTGCTTTTGCAATTTCGAACAAATTAAAATTTGTGATTATTTAAAAAACCCATTAGAAACAAATAAAGTGTGTTTGTATGTGTATCTGTTGCATTTTGTCTCAATTTAGTTTTTTACTGAACTTTAAAAACCTTTAAGGTTTTGTTCAAACACAGTCATTAATATTTGTTTATTTTATTTATTTATAACAAACAATAAATTCTACTGAGATTTGCAAAAAAATTCAAATAATTTAACTCGTAGAGTTCTATCTATCTCACCTGAAATATCTTTGGAGAATAGATAAGTAAGAAATAATGAAATGTAACTATTTCAATAAGAGTTTACACAAATTGCTAAATTTATTATACCAAATGTATTTTTTATGGTTTCTTAATTTTTTTATATTTATAGTTGCTGGTTATATATATTAAAATTTTATCTTCCAACTGTTTAATAAAAATCTTACAATTAGAAACCATTAATATTCTTAAATAAAAGTTGCTTTCAGAAAATTGTTAAAAATTTTACTTTCTTAAAATATCCTTAAAAAAGGCTTAGAAATTGATTTTCTAAATTTGTATATGGCTGAAATAAAAAATAATTTTATTAAATCTTATTAATCTTTCCATTAAACTATTTAAGGTAAGAAAATGAATCTGAATAAAAAATTTTAATATTAAGGATTATTTCTGTTAAACCATTGCGTATTTATATCATTAAAATTAAGACAATTTGATTTATATATATTTATAAATTTTTTATGTTAGAAACTATATCAATTTTAGGTTAATTTGAACTTTAACGAAAATAGAATTTAAATATTTTATGTTATAAATATAACTACTACATATGAAACACTTAACTACTAGAAAATTGTTAATTTATTGTGCTGTGGGATAATTTATTTTACTTAGATTCATTTATGTCAAGAAACAGGAGAATATTCTAAACCGATATTTATTTTTGTACATATAGAAAAAATTTACAAGTTTATTTAGAATATTCTCTTTTTTTAAAGAAAGAAAACAAGTGAGCCTAAAATACTGCAATGGTTCTTAACCAGATTCCAACATAATTTTTAAAATCCTTTTACATGAATTTTAAACTCTAAATTATCACGGTGATTCATTGTATATTTTGTGTTGATTTAAAATATGCCTATACATTTTTATTTATATTCAGAAATAAAATTGTATATATTATTCAAATTATAAAAGTCAGTTTATTCAAAAATTTAAAACTCAATTAATTTAATCTAAAAGTAAATAATTTTTGTTTTAGAACTATAACTAGTTTCTGTCTATTATGCCTAATCAATTTCTCTTTTAGTATTTTACATAATCAATTTCTATTTCAGTGGTATATGCAACTAATTTCTGTTTTACTTTAGTACAGAAATTATTTTTGCTTAATTTATCATTGATTTAAGAATCACCATGCTTTGTTTCTCATTCCTCTGTGTGTCTCAGGTTGCTCGTAAGATGGCCATGGTTGAAGCTGATCTTGAACGTGCTGAGGAGCGTGCCGAGACTGGTGAAAAGTGAGTTGTAGAATGTTTTCTTGACGCCACTTACATATCCCCATTTATTTATTTTTTTGTCTCATATTTTTTCCTGTACTTGTCCTTAATTTATATTCTATTTCATGCTTTCGTTTGGAAAATAATTAGTTTTAAGGTAAGTTGCAATAAGACTTAACAAGTCCCTTTTATTAAATTCTATGTGAACATTAAGATAGATTGAATATTATTATGTCTAATTAGGGGATTAATTTTTATGTCTAAGTATTTTTAGAGAAGTTATATTAGAGTAACGTTTCTAAACTTCAGATATGGATATGATATTATTAAAAGAGTTTTTTTTGGAAGATTTTCATTTACACTTAATAAGTTTTAGAAAAATTTTATGAATTTTAAAAAAATTAATTATCAAAAAAAGTTTTTTAATGAATTTTAAAATATTAATTATCAGAATTTTTTTTTTACTTTAATAATTTTTGCTTTTGGTTATTTCAAAATAAATAAAATTTCAAAATAAATAATTTTGGTTATTAAAAAATAAATTAAAGTTTAATTTATAAGTCTTTTGAATAGGGAATTTTTACAAATTTATGTTAAATTCCATATACTGTTGAACATAAGATTTGAGGCAACTGTGCATGTACACATTTTTTTTATCCTATGTTTTGTTGGCGTAGTTTTACAGAGTAACAAACATGCTGTTGAATGGTGTCTTTTGTTTAAGCCTACCTGCAAATTAATAACATGGACATGTTACTGATAGATCAAGAAGAGTCAGTACACAAAGGCAGAGATGGAGACTTCGTAATACTAAAATTTTAAAATAAATCGTGTTTTTACAGAGATTGGTTGATTTCATAAAAAAATGTATTTTATTCGTTTTAGTTTAAAATTATGGTTTTCTAATTGCATTCCATAAGAAACTAGATATTTTTTCGTTATTTTAAAATGTAGAATGTATTTATTTTAATTAAAAAATTTAGTGTAATAAGTTTAACTTCCAGAAGGTTTATGCAAAATCTCTTTATTTTCACTCATGTAAGATTGAAACTTTTTCACGAGAACATATGCATTTAAACCGAACTGATGCATGTGCAATTATAGTGCACATGCACAATATCTTCCAATTTACGTATGAGAATGTACAAAATTTAACATAAAAGTGTGAAATTTCTCTAATATCCAATATATCCTAATTAGAATATTTCTCTAAAACTAAAGGTTAAAAGTGTACTTAGTTTCAACTTGATTATTTTACTAGAAGTTGGTTAATTGTATATTATTATTATTTTGTTAATTCTATATCAATGGACAAAAAGAAAAATATCTAACTAAAATTTTTGTAAACTTTAATCACTAGGTTCTAGAAATTTCATTTAATTATAATAAAAAAAAAGTTATGTTATAGAAATTTCGATTCCTGGATTCACTCTCTGTCATTCCGTGACATAAAATAAATGTGTATGACTTTAGTTTATTTGGTACATTGGATTTTCAGTAATAAAACTAAATTACATTGACTTATTTTATGCTTATACTGTACTTGCATTTAATTTAACTTCAAATAAAATTTGGCAATTTTTCTTTCTTTATTTATCAGACTTATGTCTCAGAATCTAATTAAAAAAAACTTTTAAAATATTCCATTTATTTTTGTTAAAATATTTTTGAGAGTTTAATCAGACTGTTGTAAAAATAATTTTCTTTTATAGCAAAATTGTAGAGCTTGAGGAAGAATTGAAAATTGAGGGTGATATCCTAAGTTAACAAAAAAATTAAAACTAAATTTCGCAGATTTTCAATTTTTTTCTTGTAATCTTTTCTTGTTTACTGTTTATCATACTTATGTATCAAAGTCTAATCAAGAAAGGCTTTCAACAAAATTCCCATTATTTTCTATTTAATTCTTTTAGTGAGTTTTAATCAGTGAGTGAGTCATCGTTACAAAAAATAATTTTTTTTTCAGCAAAATTGTAGAGCTTGGAGGACGAACTGAAAATTGAGGGTAGCACCCTAATTTAACAAAAAAATTAAAAATAAATTTAGCAGATTTTCAATGTTTTTCTTGGAATCTTTTCTTGTTTACTCTTGATCATACTTATGTATCAGAATCTAATCAAAAAAGGCTTTCAACAAAATCCACATTTATTTTTTATTTTATTCTTTTAGTGAGTTTTAATCAGTGAGTAAGCCTTATCTCTACAAAAAAAAATTTTTTTTCAGCAAAATTGTAGAGCTTGGAGGACGAAATGAAAATTCTAATTTAACAAAAAAATTAAAAATAAATTTAGCAGATTTTCAATGTTTTTCTTGGAATCTTTTCTTGTTTACTCTTTATCATACTTATATATCAGAATCTAATCAAAAAAGGCTTTCAACAAAATCCACATTTATTTTTTATTTTATTATTTTAGTGAGTTTTAATCAGTGAGTAAGTCTTATCTTTACAAAAAAAAAAATTTTTTTCCAGCAAAATTGTAAGAGCTTGGAGGACGAATTGAAAATTGAGGGTAGCACCCTAATTTAACAAAAAAATTAAAAATAAATTTAGCAGATTTTCAATGTTTTTCTTGGAATCTTTTCTTGTTTACTCTTTATCATACTTATGTATCAGAGTCTAATCAAAAAAGGCTTTCAACAAAATCCACATTTATTTTTTATTTAATTCTTTTAGTGAGTTTTATCTTTACAAAAAATAATTTCTTTTTCAGCAAAATTGTAGAGCTTGAGGAAGAATTGAGAGTTGTGGGTAACAATCTGAAATCTCTGGAAGTCAGTGAGGAGAAGGTAAAAGAAACAAATATCCCGAGCAATATTTACTATTTAAACAAAAAAACTAGCAGAAATTTTTGGAAAATATTTTGGATACTTTTGCATGATTTTTTGCTGCTTTTTGTTTCATCAAAGAGTGTGCCCAACTATTTCAGATTATGCGAATTAAAAAATTTTGAATTCCTTTTTGCATGTTTATAACAACAGTTCTCCTTTTTGTTGCTTTTTTTCCTTTTGGAAAAACTTGCTGAAATCAGAATAATCAGTTGTTATTAAACTTATCGACATTCTGCTTTTTTACCAAAATTTTTTAAAGATAATATTCTTAATTATGTTCTCAAATTTTATCCATAATTTTTAGATTTTTTCAAATAATATTGATAGTAATGTTTGAGCAAATATAGAATTGATATAACAATTTTAAAGTAACTTAAACATATTTTTAAAATAACAAATTTTAACAATATTTTGTATTAACTTTTAACATCACAAATTTTGATAATATTTTGCAATATTATTTATTCTGTAATTTTTTTAAATTTTCTTCATTATTAAAAAACATTTCACCATACAGATGAATGCAAAGATTTTTTTAACCGTTTAAAATACTTGTTCCACTTTTTATATTTTTAAAAATTTTTAAAAATAAATTAATTAGTTTTTATTATTTTAATAATTTCCGAGCAGGTTAATTTAAAATAAATTTTACACATATCATAGTTTTATTAAAATTGTCTGTACTCTTTATTTCATATGAAACTCTGTTATAATTCTTCCATATTTGCGAAATAAAGAATTTTAAAAAAATGATTTGTGTTTAAACTATACTTTTGAGTTTTGCCAAAACTTTTTAGTCAATAACTTTTTTTTTTTGCTGAAAATTATTTTTCATTTTTTATAATATTATCATTAAAAATTTATAAAAAGCTTAATATAATGTATAAAAATTTATAAATATTCTGCTTCTTTTATAAAAATTTATAAATATTCTGCTATTTTCTTATGCTCTTGTGTTAAATGCATTCTATTATATGCTTGTGTTGCAATATATTTTTTTAACTATGCATAAATTTCATACTACTTTTGTATTAATTCAGATGACTTCTTTTGTAATCTTGTAAAAATAATTTTTTGAGCTGCAGAAATAACAGTCGTAATGGCTTTTTTGCTTTTCAAATGTTTGTTAAAATTTTTAATGATTGAATAGGCTTTATTAAAAATTAGTTCTTTCTAAATAGGTGAGACGTATTTCATTGCTCTCACTATATATTAAAGATAATTTCACTATGTCTTAAAAAGTAAAGTCATCATAATTGTTATTTAATTTATTCTAATGAATATTAAAGTGCCTTAATGAATTTATTTATTTTGTTATTTACTTATCAAATTTTTTTCATTCAATTTTTCTAAAAAAAAAATTATTAATTAAAATACTAAGTTTTAAATTTTTACAGTTCCAAAAATCACTCGTTAATGTAAGCAAAAAGACTGTTTTTATTTTTAGTACAGAAGTATATTCATAGAATTCTTTTTTCAAAAATTTATTAATTTAAAATTTTAATTCCAATAATTATTATATTAGCCAAAAATACATTATCATAGAAAATGAATAAAATGTTAAATAGATATTAAAAAATTGGCACTTTTGAATATAAAAAATATTTTTTAAATAATATTTTTAATTTAAATCTTAAAATATTATTTTAGGACATGAACAATCTTTAAACATGAGGAAATAGAATGTTAGTAATAATTAATTAACAAACTTCTTTTTTTTTAAAAAAAGAAAGTTTACTTTAAAAATATTTAATTCTCTTAATTATTACTTATTATTATCTAAAATATTTAATTATTACTTATTAATGGATTAAATCAAAATTACAGAGTCATGAAATGAATAAAAAATTTAACGAAAAAAATAGTTAAGAATTTTTATTGTTTAAATACTACTTTAGGTTTAGGGTATAAATCCCAATTTATGATCTTCAATTTTTACTTTCAAAACTTTTTCAATCGATTTATTACAGGATATTTTTTTTAAATTTATGTAGTTAGAAATCATCTGAAAAGAGTACAAATTTATTCTTTGTTTTCTTTTTAACTGTGTGATATGTTCTGTTTGTGTGACTGAAGTTTTCATAAGCCTCCTTTAAAAGTATGGTATCATAAACTCGTTAAATTTTCAATATATGTTTAAAATCTTTCCTGTTTCTTCTCAAAACCTTACTTTTGCTTAACAATTACTAATCAAGCTGCTTTTGCTTAGTGTGTGCGTAACTAACTATAAAGATTTGACACTTCAAACAATAAATAGTTTTACTTGAAAAAACTATTTCAGAGAAATATAGCTTGCATACTTGTGTGTTTTGTTTAGAACATTATTTCACGAAAGCATATTTTAACAACTAATAAGATCAATAAGATTTGTGGGCTTAAAAATCTAAAAACTATTATATCATATTAGCTTAAAAATATCCTAAAACTAATTGATCTTGTGTTTGTTAGCAAATGGCCTGCTTCAAAAAATTATGTAAAATGAATTTTGCTGTTATAATGTTGAATAAATCATATTCGTGACAACTTTATTAAATCTAATACTTAAAAAAAATTCTTATTAAAATGTTTTACATTTCTGATATTTTGGAAATTAACTTATCAACAATCAACTTATTTTGAGTGGCTTTTTCTTAAATGAACTTTAAAAAAAATTCTTATTTAAATGTTTTACATTTCTGATATTTTGGAAATTAACTTATCAACAATCAACTTATTTTGAGCAGCTTTTTCTTAAATGAACTTCATAAGTTTAGTGTACAATCTTAATTATTAAATTTATTCTGTTACTTTAAACAGCTTTAATGCTGTGTTTTATCATTATAAGTTCTTTTGGCTTTAAGTACTGATATATTTTATTAGAATAAATTATTATCAGTATTTAAATTAATAAATTATTAATTTAAATACTGATATATTTTATTATGAAAAAATTACAATCTCCCACAAAATTATTGGTTAAACTACATAGTTAAAATATAGTGTTGTAGTGTTTAGTTTTATTAGTGTTTAGATGCTACCTATTCCTTTTGCTTTGAATGCCAGGTTAATTTGAAACATATTTTATGTTTATAGATGCATTTTCAAAAATACATAAAGAAATATTTTTATCTTTAGTGCTTAATGTTAATTTAAAAGTAATATTAGTCTAATATAAAGTTAAGAATATGAATTAAAATTATATAAGTTCTTAATATAAAATTTGATTATTTTTTATTCTTTATTTGCTTGTAAAAATATTGCTAACTTGATTTAAGGTAATTTTATTTAATAAACATTTAAGGCTGCATAGCTTTAGTTTAATGACAAGAGTCTGGATTTTGATGACATAAAAAATCTTTAAAATTACCTCTATTTCTAAAATCTGTATATTATGGGACGAAATTAATGTTCGCCACAGGCAACAAAATATAGTCGCCATTCAATCTATATTATCTTTTGTGAAAAATGCAACCCATGTGCATTTTATTATTTTTTAATAGCTATGAATGTTTTATAATATTCTGAAAATTACTTTATTTCACGATAGTTCTTTTTTTTTTTCATTTTAAAAGCAATGTTAACCCATGTTTGATAAATTATTAGAAAAAAATGCTTTACATTATTAATATCAATAGTTTTTTTTAATTGTTTTAAATTTTATTTAAGTGGCCACATGCTTAAAAAAAAAAGCCACTGTTTAAAATGCTACAATTAGCCATTGACCAGTTGCTAAATTTCTTAATTTTGCCCTATGCTATATATATATTACTAAGACACATTGAGATACAATTTTCCTTAAAGTTTGCAATAAATATCATATGCTAAAATAACAAAAGATGAAAGAAGGATGAAAAAATTTATTGATACTTAGACTGGTTAATCTATATACAGTAGGGAACCGATTATCCGGAACGATCGGGANATACTTAGACTGGTTAATCTATATATATGTATATTGATAGGGAAAAAATACTAAAAGCAAAGACATTATAGATATAATTGTTCATCTAAAACACAGTACATCACATATCCTGAAGTGTAAAAAAGAATTACCCTAATATGTGAAAAGAAAAAAAAATGCCCTAACATAAAAAATATATTGGAAAACCTAAAACTGTCCTAAAATCAAAAAAGAGTTATTAAAAAAAGTGCACATGTCATCAAAATCCATATCTTAATGATAACATAGCTAATGCTAATTGCAAAATTTTTTAAATAAAAAAATGCCTTTCAATTCATGGCATGATAATCATTAAATTATGCAGCTTTCTAAATATAATCTTTCAAATATAACCCTTTTTTTAAATAAATCCAACTGCCATATAAAACAAAATAAAAATCTAGTTAATTATAAAGTTAAAGTAATTCCTGGCATAAGAAGTATCCTATAGTAGATAGATTCCCATCTAATGCTTTTCTTGCCTTACTTGTTCATTTCCAAAACAGAACCAGCAAAAGCAAGAGGCTTATGAGAGTCAGGAACGCACCATGAATAACCGTTTGAAAGAGGTAAGATATTGTTTAAATTTCCTATGTTCATATTTTAATATTTTTGTTACCTTTGACACTCACAGGCATTGCAAAAGGAAGAGACTTATGAAATGACCATTAGGCAGATGTCACAAAGACTTCAAGAGGTAAAACCTTGTAACATTGCTCATTTCCTAAGTTTTTTCACTTTCATGTTTCATGTTGCAGCTGAAGAACGATGCTGTGTCCAACCATCAGTGCTTGAATCTTTCTGACTCTGAAAAAAGTTTTCTGTAAAATCTTATTATTTTAACACTTTTTCTGTTGAGTTTGTTGGATGTTGGGTTTTAGACCAAAAAATAACTGAGAAAAATGTCAGTATTAGTGCTCTCCTGGTTTACTGAATGTTTGGCTAAGCCTAATGAAAGTAATTATGAAGATACCTGCAGAATCCTCAAAGTGTTTACTTTCATAAAAAATTTTCTTGTATTATTTTTTTAGCACAATTT